CCACTCTATCTGTACAAAAAATGGAAAAATATCCTCGGGTGAGGATAAAAAAAAAAAAAAAAGGCTCGTGAAAGCTGTAGAGAGGGTTACTGCTCTCCCATACTGCCGCAGTGTTGGAATAAACACTCTTGTAGGATTCTACCTTGTCTCTTCTTCATTGACTCAAGTGCTGACTGGTGCCCGGACCCATTCCTTGTCCGGTTTCATTTGAATTACTGTGCAATGAGGTGAGAGACATGGTGCAGGTCTAGCCAGCTCTATGTGTAGAATCTGAGTTGTTTATTGATAGGCATTTAGACCCGTAGGAGTTAAAGCAAGGACTATACGCCAGGTTCAGAAGGTCACCAGGGTAGAAAGCCCAAGGTGTTTAGTAATAGGACAGAACTGGACAAACAAGGGCATTGTTTTGGGGTGACTTTTTCTCTCCTAGCATATCTCTGGTCATTTGGTTTGGACCCTACCCTGATTTATCCTCCCCTGGGAAGGTGAAGTCTTGTGGGTTATTCCCGCCCCAGTCTTAGCCAGTGAACCAACCAGAGGGCCAAAGGATAGCTTTTCAGCATTAAGACTCTAGGAAAAAAAGATTCTGAAACTCCTTTCCCTCTTCTCCATGTCAGGCTTCTACCTTTATCCTTCTCCCTTCTCACCACAAGGGCCCTTGTTTGCTTCTGTAACTTGTTTCTTGATTCTTTTCTGCTACCTGTTATTTCTTCTACCTCTGTGAGTTTTTTTTTTTTAATCCTCACCCAAGGACATTTTTCCTTTTATTGTTGAGATACAGTTGGAAGGAGAGAGAGACAGAAACATCGATGTGAAAGGGACACATCGAGTGGCTGCCACCCACACAACCCCAACAGGAACGGGTACAAACTGCAACCGAGGTACGTGCCCCTAGGGTGAACCAAACCTGGGACTCTGGTCTGCAGGCCGACACTCTAACCGCAGGCCGAGTCAAACTGCACAGGGCAAGAAAAAGTATTTTAAAACATTAAAATAAATAAATAAGTAAAATCAATAAGGGTAAATTTTTATTTTATTTATTTATTTATATATTTTTAAAATTTATTTTCTTTTTTTTTTTTTTTTTTTATCCTCACCCGAGGACATTTTTCTATTTTTTGTACAGATAGAGTGGGAGGGAGAGAGAGGAAGGGAGAGAGAGAGAGAAACATCGACGTGAAGAGACACATCGAGTGGCTGCCACCCGCACGACCAACCAGGGCCAGGGACAAACTGCAACCGAAGTACGTGCCCTTAGCGGGAACCGAACCCGGGTCTCTCCAGACCGCAGGCCGACGCTCTAACCGCTGAGCCAAACTGGCCAGGGCTTAAAATTTATTTTCAAATCTTTATTGTTGGATGTAAAATGTATTGCAGATGTTCCACATTTTTCCCCCATTAACCCCCTCCTTCCCCCCTCCCACCTTTTCCCACACTATTGTCTGTGTCCATTGGTTATGCATATAAGTTCTTTGGTTTATTTCTTCCCACCCCCCAGACCCCTTTCCCTTTGAGGTTTGTCAGTCTAGCAATGAATTTGTGCTTCTTAATCCCTTCACCTTTTTCACCCATTCCCCCAACCCCCTCCCAACTGGCAACCAACAAAATGTTCTCTGTATCTATGAGAATGTTTCTGTTCTACCTGTTCATTTTATTTGTAGATTCCATTGTTGATAGATATGTATTCATTGCCATTTTGTTTGTTCACACATTTTATCTTTTTCTTCAAAAAGACTCTTCATCATTTCATATAATAACAGTTTGGTAGTGATGAACTCCTTTAACTTTTTCTTGTCTGGGAAAGTTTTTATATGTCCATCGATTCTAAATGACAGCTTTGCAGGATAGAGCAATTTTGGTTGTAGGTTCTTGCTTTTCATCACTCTGAATATTTCTTGCCACTCCCTTCTGGCCTGCAAAGTTTCTTTTGAGAAATCAGCTGACAGCCTTATGGGAACTCCCTTGTAGGTAACTAGCTGTCTTTCTCTTGCTACTTTTAAGATTCTCTCTTTGTCTTGAACCTTTTGCATTTTGATGATGATGTGTCTTGGTGTGGGCCTCTTGGGGTTCATCTTGTTGGGGACTCTCTGTGCTTCCTGGACTTGTATGTCTGTTTCCTTCACCAAGTTAGGAAAGTTTTCTGCCATTATTGTTTCAAACAGGTTTTCGATTTCTTGTTCTCTCTTTTCTCCTTCTGGCACCCCCAAGATGCGAATGTTGGCACGCTTGAAGTTGTCCCAGGGGCTCCTTACACTATCCTCATTTTTTTTGGATTCTTTTTTCTTTTTGCTGTTCTGATTGGGGATTTTTTGCTTCCTTATATTCCAAATCGATGGTTTGCTCCTTGGATTTACATACTCTTACTGAAGCTGTGTAAATTATTCTTTATTTCAGTTAATGCCTCCTTCAATTCTGTGTATTCATGATTTCTAACTGGTCCTTTTTTATGCTCTTGAGGCCCTCCCTAAGTTCACTGAGGTTCTCACTAAGTTCACTGAGCATCCTTATAAGCAGTATTTTGAACTCAGCATCTGTTAGATTGCCTATCTCCATTTCGCTTACTTATTTTCTTGGGGTTTTGTTCTGTTCTTTCATTTGGGACCTGTTTCTTTGTCTCCTCATTTTGGCTGCCTCCCTGTGTTTGTTTCAGTGTATTACTTAACGAGAGGTATGGGGCTCACTGACACCAGATGCTGCTCATTTGAAAGAATTTAGGAAAAACCTGAAGCAGGATCCAAGACAGGCCAATCCTATGGTTAAGCAAGTGGCAACAGCTTGGGTGGGCTTGAAAGTTGGGTGGGGTGGGCTTGAAAGTTGGGTGGGCTTGAAAGTTGGGTGGGGCGGGGCCTCAGGGCGTCAGCGGGGCGGGGCCTCAGGGCGTCAGCAGGGCGGGGCTACCAGTGTGAGCCAGGTTGCTGGAGTCCCAGATATGGAGACTGTCTGCCGCCCCTGGGAAGGGCTCACCAAAGGAACAAAGGCCTCTTACAGCACGTTTGTCCCAGAGAAAACCCCCTCTCCAGCCCTCGCTCCAGTGCCAAACAGCTCAGTTCTTTCCTGTATGTCTCTGGTGCCCCTCGAGCTGCCTCCCCTCCGAGCTTAGAGGGAGAGAGTCCTATAAGTCCGTGCGCGGGCCCTTTAAGGAGCTGCCTGGGGCTCCAGCCGCTTCAGCCTCCCTGAGCCTCAGTTCCTGCTGGTTTTTCCAGCCAGAAGTGATGGGGATTCTCTTCCTGGCACTGGAACCCTGAGCGGGGCACCTGGTGTGGGATGGGGACCCCTCAGTCCTCAGGAAGGACCTTCCCAGCCGCGGGAGCCTCCTGATTTTTATCTGCCACACGTGGGTGTGGGACCAGCCCATCGCGCCGCCCCCGCCGCCCCTCCTACCAGTCTGGATGTGGCTGCTGATTTAATTTCGTAGTTGTAGGACTTCCATTCAGCTTGATTTCAGGCGGTTTTGAATGATGGTAGTTTAGTTGTAACTTTGATGTGGTTGTGGGAGGACGCGATACCGTGTTTACCTACCCGCCATCTTGACCGGAAGTCCTCAAGATAAATTTTTAAAAAAGAAAGTCGCCCTGGCCGGTTTGGCTTAGTGGTTAAAGAGTCTGCCTGCGGTCCAGGAAGACCCAGGTTCCGTTCCCGCTAAGGGCTCGTATCTTGATTGCAGTTTGTCCCGGCCCTGGTTGGTTTGGCTTAGTGGTTAAAGAATTGACCTGTGGTCCAAGAAGACCCGGGTTCGGTTCCTGCTAAGGGCGCGTGTCTTGGTTGCAGTTTGTCCCCGGCCCTGGTTGGATCCTACGGGAGACAACCACTTGACGTGTTTCTTTCACGTCGATGTTTTTCTTTCTTCCTCTGTCTGTCTCTCCTTCTGTATCTGAAGATAAATGCAAAGATGTCCTCCGGTGAGGATAAAAAAAAATTATTATTTTTGTTGTTGTTGATTTTAGAGAGATAGGAAGGGATGGGGAGAGAGAGAGAAACATCAGTGAGAGAGAACATCAAGCACCCCCCTCTCGCATGATCCCACTGGGTTTTGGGCCCACATCCTGGGCAAATGCCCTGACCAGGAATCAAACCAGCGACCTTTTGGTACACTGTTAGGGAAAGGGAGGGAGAAATAGAAACATCGATGACAGAGACCAGCAATTGGCCACCTCCTACATGCTCCCCACTGGGGATTTGGCCCACAACTTGGGCATTAGCTCAGACCAGAAATCAAACTGGTGGCATCTTGTTGCACGGGTCGATATTCCACCATTAAGACAGGCTTCTGGGTTTTGAATTCCTTTCTAACCAGAACTCAAGTGCCAAGGATGCTGAACCGAGGTCCCTTGTGACCCCACTCGTCTAACAGTTTGTGCTGTTTTCCCAGGCAATGTTTTCTGGAAGAGAATGTTCTCATTTATTATTTATTTATTTATTTATTTAATCTTCAGCCGAGGACATTTTTGCATTCATCTTCAGATAGAATGGGAGGGAAAGAGGGAGGAAGTGAGAGAAACATTGATGTGAAAGAGACACATCAACTGGTTGACACTCGTACAGCCTTAACTGGGGACAAACAGCAACTGAGGTACGTGCCCTTAATGGGAACTGAACCCACTGAGTGAAAATTGCCAGGGCTGCATATTGATTTTTTTTTTTCAGCTGGTTTGTTTGAAGCAAATGTAGCCCTGGGTGGAGCGTGCAGAGTGGGTAGAAGTCACCCCTTGAGAAGGACATTGACATGTGAGGACAGTGTCGTCTGTGAGGGTGTCTTCCTGACTTTAGGAAAACCAGCTATCTTCTCCGATTGTAATGTAGAAAAACGCTGTAAAACTGCAATTTTCCAGAGCACTATGCAATCCATTGTCCTTTTGCTTCTTGGCAGTTGTGGCTGAAATACACTGAGAAGAATTCTCTACAGGTTTGGACATTTCTTACACGGACACCTCAAGCAATTGCATCGTGTGAAGCAAGGAAAGCTTCCCGGGAGGATTATCAGCATTTCCAGGGACTGAACTAACTGAAGACAGATTTCTAAACAGAAACCTAGAGCTGACCAGAAACTCAGCGAGCCAGAGCTTTCCCGCTGCCAGCTCCAGTCAGAGAGCAGAAGAAAATGGTGCAGGCTCAGGTGACTTTGTTTTTGTTTTTAATCCTTCTGGGGGATATTTTTAGCATTGGATATTTGAGAGTGTGGAATGGAGGATAGATGCATAGGGGTGAGAGAGAGGGAGAAACATCGATGTGAGAGACACACAACCATTGCTTGCCTCCCACAAACACCCCATCAGGGGCTGTGACCTTAACTACAACCCAGGCACTTGGCCTTGTTTAGAAATCGAACCCACAGGCCTTCGGTTATTCAGCTGACGCTCTAACCATTGTGCAACATGGGTCAGGGCTCAGTTTGCGTTATTCTTTTCTTGTTAATGTGTTTGTAATGCCTATAGAAAACCAACTTTGTTCCTATGGAAGGTATACATATATTTTCTGTCTCTTAAATATCAGAATTTGATTATATTAAATGTATTTCAAGATTGCCATGAACATTTAATTTCTTCATTGTATAGTGACAGCTAATTGGATGAATGTGTGGGTGACTGAATGTACAATTATAAATAGCATTTTACTAGGCATGTGACTATTCAACTGTATATTATAATAAAACAACCCGCTGTATACGTGCAGCGTATAAAGTACAAATGAGCAGAAAAATGAACATTTCTCCTATATCATCTGAATGATATTCCTCAATAAACAGCATCGTATTGTTACAGGAATCCCTGACCTTTCATGATGTGGCCGTGGACTTCACCTGGGAGGAGTGGCAGCTACTGGACCCCAATCAGAAAAAATTGTACAGGGACGTGATGTTAGAGAACTTCAGCCACCTGAAGTCAGTGGGTGAGGACAGCTCCCTGTGGCACCCAGCCTTACTCAGTTAATGGCTTTTCTGTTCTCACCTGCTTACCTCTTCAGAATAACTGCCTTTCCCCCAAAGTGTGGAATCTCAGATCATTCTCTTGCCCCAGACAGGAGGGTATGGTGTCCCTACTCCAGAGGGAAAAGTCCTTGTGTTAGAGATGTGAAACCTGTTCCTTTCCTCTCCTTGGCAGACCCCAGCCCTATTCAATATGTCTAAGTCTTTTCTCATTTTTCTTGAGCAGGGTATCAAGGTAGTAAACCAGACGCGCTCTCCAAGTTGGAACGAGGGGAAGAACCATGGAGAGCACAGGATGAGCTCCATCTAGTCTGTGAAGGTGAGTGAAGGAGACTCAACAGGTGGGCGGCCAGGAAGGCACATTCTAGTCAGAGCGGTGGCAGTGAATGAGGAAACTCACCCCATCCTCCCCGGATGAGAACCCTGTTTCTTTGTAGAAGTTTAGAGGAAAACATACATTTTTTCTCTTGTGAGCTCTGACCCTGGCTTATTTTATCTACCTCTTGTTTATATTGTTTTCTTTCTTGTAGGGTTCTCAGATCATCCCCATCTTTATTCACAGTCACAGTGTCTCTGCCTGTATTTCCACCTCTCTTGATATAAATTACATTTTTCAAGGCTCTCTGGAAACACAGAAGGTTGAATTCATCACCTTTTCTTTTACTACTGGGTTGACACATGCACCAAGAGGTCACCGTTTTGATTTCCAGTCAGGGTATATGCCCAGGTTGTGGGCCAAATTTCCAGTGGGTGGCATGCTGGAATTGGCCAGTTGATGTCCTCTGTTATTTATGTTTCTATCTATCTCTCTGTCTGTCCCTCTCCCTTCTACTCTCTCTCTCTAAAATTCAATAAAGAACAAAAAAAGCTGTAGATACAAATAGAGTGGAAGGCAAGTAGAGAGAGACAGAGAGACCTGAATCTGAGAGATACACAGGGATTGGTTCCATCCTGCATGACCGAGAGTGACCTGGACAGAGGATCGAACATGCAAACCAGGTACACATCTTTAATCAAGAACAGAATCCATGATCCTTTGTTACACAGGATGACACTCTAACCACTTACATAACAGGTAAGGGCTTAGATAAGACATTTTTTAGATTTATACATTCAGCCCGTATCTTCGTATTTCTACCTGGATATTTAATAATTGTATTAAACTTTGTTTCACCATCCACTCTAAATTTTGCCCTCATTCTGTACCGCAATAATACTGGATTTCTTAAGAGCCATTCTGTCTACCTAGTCTTTTAATTCATATATTTCCTAGTGTTCTTTGATATCATTAGTGAACCAGTCTTCTCTTTCCATAAAGGTTGTGGCAAAAGTCGATTTACATTGGTGAGAACGCAGAACAGTTTTTTCTTTTCTATTTTTTTATGCTCACACGAGGACATTTTTTTCCATTTTTTGTTCAGATAGAGCGGGAGGGAGAGAGAGAGAGAGAGAAACATCGACGTGAAAGGGACACATCAAGTCATTGCCACCCGTACGACCCATCCAGGGCCGGGGGGACAAACTGCAACCGAGGTATGCGCCCTTAGCGGGAACCGAACCCAGGTCTCTCTGGACCGCAGACTGACACTCTAACCACCGAGCCAAACTGACCAGGGCAGAACAGTTTTTTCTCAAAATGTTATTAATATTGCATCATTTTCTGAACACTGCAAACTACTTTTACCCGTCCCTATATATTCTCATTGCCTCCACCTCTGACATCTTGCTCCTTGCCCATGGTTCCCAAGCTGCAATTGCCTTTATTACATAGCTCCTGGTGTCTGTACATAGAATGTTAAATCTGGTTGTCCTACAAATTTGACTCACTTCTGGCCTTATCTACCTAGAAATAGTATTAGATGTGACAATTTCAGGTTTAGCCCCATAGGTCTGCCACCATTCAAATGTCAATCACAAGTCTCGAGTGCTCCTTGTATTTCTGACCCACGGGTTATGAATGGTAGGTTCTTGTGTGCCCCTCCTTGGCTTTAATGAATTTGCCAGAGCAGGCTGGACTGTGTGACCCTGTGGTTGAGCTTCAACTCACGCATCAAGCAGTCTTCAGTTGGTTTCCTGGTCAGGGCACAAGAAGGGGTTGTGGGCCTGGTTTCCAGTGGGGAGCATGCATGAAGATGTCAATGTTTGTTTCCCGGTCAGGGCACAAGCAGGGGTGGTGGGCCTGGTTTCCAGTGGGGAGCGTGCATGAAGAGGTCAATGTTTTCTCTTATTGATGTTTCTTTTTCTATCTCTCTCACCCTTCTCTCTGTAAAACCAAAAAAGAGGAAAAAAAATTTATTTTAATTTTTTTAATGTTTTATTTTATTATTTTTATTTTTAATCCTCACTGCAAGATTTTCCCATTTATCTGCAGATAGAGTGGGAGGGAGATAGAGGGAGAAAGGGGGAGAGAGAGAAATATCGATATGAGAGGGACACATTGATTGGTCACCTCCTGCATGACCCAACCAGGGCTGGGAACGAATCACAACTGAGGTACATGCCCTTGGCTGGAATTCAACCCACCACTCATGGGTCTATGGACAGATGCTCTGTTGCTGAGCCAAACCAGCCAGGGTTTATTTTAATTTTTGAACATGCTCACACTACTTGGAGAAATACTTATGTTTACTAGTTGATTATAAAGATGTTGTAAGAAATACAGATGAATGGATACAGGCCACATTCTGAAAAATCTTGAATACAGAAACTTTTTTTTTTTTGTATATTTTTTAATCCTCTCTGAGGATATTTTTCTGTATATCTTCAGACAGTGGGGGTTGGGGACAAAAAGGGAAAGAGAAAGAAACATTGACATGAGAGAAACACATCAACTGGTTGCATCCTGCTCAAACCTGACCAGGACTGGGGACGAAGTGCAACCGAGACAAGTGCCCTTCTCCAGAATCCAACCTATAACTCATTGGTCCATGGACTGGCATTCTGCCACAGAGCCAAACTCCCAAGGCCTAAATAAAAGAACTTTTTTTGTTGTTTTTTAAATTTTTTTCTTTATTGATTTTCCAGAGAAACATAAAAACATTGATGAGAGAGAACATTTACTGGCCGCCTGCCAATGTCCCACCACTGGGGATTGGGCCCATAACCTGGGCCTGTGCCCGGATTGGGAATTGAACCGGCGACCTCTTTTTGCATGGGTCAATGCTCAACCACTGAGCCACACCGGCCGGACTTTTCATTTATTTATTTATTTTTTATGGTAGAGTGGGAGGGAGAGAGGGAGAAAGAGAAACATTGACATGAGAGAGACACATCAAGTGGTTGCCACCCCCACAACCCCAACTGGGGCTGGGGACAAACTGCAATTGAGGTATGTGCCATTAGTGGGAACCAAACCTGGGCCTCTGGTCTACTGGGCCACGCACTAACCTCTGAGCCAAACTATCAGGACGAATACAGGAAGTGTTGTCTTTATGGAACTGGGGTAAACCATCCGCTCGGCAACTGTATTTGTTAAAAAAAGACGCAGACGGCTTGCGGTCCGGAGAGACCCGGGTGCGGTTCCCGCTAAGGGCATGTACCTCGGTTACAGTTTGTTCCCGGCCCTGGTTGGGTTGTGCGGCTGGTAGCCACTCGATGTGTCTCTTTCACATCGATGTTTCTCTCTCTCTCTCTCTCTCTTCCTCTCTCTCCCTCCCATTCTATCTGTACAAAAAAATGGAAAAATGTCTTCGGGTAAGGATAAAAAAATTTAAAAAAAGACGCAGAAATGTATTATATCTTCCTAAGAGTTCTTATAAAACTTTAATCCTGCCCTGGCCGGTTTTGCTCAGCGGTTAGAGCGTCGGCCTGCGGTCCGGAGAGACCCGGGTTCGGTTCCCGCTAAGGGCATGTACCTCGGTTGCAGTTTGTCCCCGGCCCTGGTTGGTCGTGCGGGTGGCAGCCACTTGATGTGTCCCTTTCACATCGATATTTCTTTCTCTCTCTCTCTCTCTTCCTCTCTCCCTCCCACTCTATCTGTACAAAAAATGGAAAAATGTCCTCAGGTGAGGATGGAAAAAACAAAACAAAAAAACTTTAATCCCTAGGCCCTTCCTTCTTTTCCATGGGTCAGTGTGTTGAGCCGAAAGGTGAGTCTTCTAATCAATTAGTGTTTCTGGTAACTAGTTCCACCTGAGGTTGTATAGAAACCCTGTGCATTCCTGGCCGGTTTGGTTCAGCGGTTAGATCATTGGCCTGCAGTCCAGAGAGACCTGGGTTTGGTTCCCGCTAAGGGCGCGTACCTTGGTTGCAGTTTGTCCCCGGGCCTGGTTGGTCATGCGGGTGGCAGACACTCGATGTGTCACTTTCACATCAATGTTTCTCTCTCTCTCCCTCTCTCTTCCTTCCGCTCTATCTGAACAAAAAATGGAAAAATTGTCCTTGGGTGAGGATTTAAAAAAAGAAACTTTGTGTTAACATTTATTAGCATAAACTCACATTAACTAGTAAATTTGATTTATATATACACACACACACACACACACACACATATATAACAATATGTACTCTTATCACTTAGGATATTGCAAGATTTTAGCAACTTCAGTGTTAAGAACTCTGGACAAAAACCACTTAAGTTTGAGTTTTTACAATGTAGGTTGTCAACTGAATACCTGACACGAAGTCATTTTTTAAAAACAGTTCTATATCAAACTAGGATTGGAAGAGATTACAAGGTGAATTACTGTTCTCTTCTTTCCTAGAATGCAGGCAAGATGATGATTCTCTACAGTGTCACCTGCAAATTGGTAAAGTTCAGATGAGTGCGGAACGATGCTGTGACCCTGACACATTTGCAAATATTGTTAATCATACTGAAGGTCATTTTCCGCTAAAGCACAATCGTAATCTTGAGAATCATGGAAAACCTTTACAATTAAAATTAAGTTTTAAAAAACAGAACAGAAGCTGTAACTTAACGAACTCTGTCGAGTTGAATGGACATGGGACTCCCATTCTGCATGGCAACGAACAACTGTGTTACCCTGAAATTATATTTCCTTTCAGTACGAAAAACGTCAGTAATAAATCCCAGGTCATTCAGCAACAGAGAACTCACAATGGAGAGAAACCCCAAGAATGTACTGAATGTGGGAAGGCCTTCATCAAGATGTCTCTTCTGAGTCAACACGATAGACTTCATGGTGAGGAGAATCCTAATGTATGCAGTCTGAGCAGGAAAGGCTTTTTTATTAAATACAATCTCCCTGAACATAGTGGAATTCAAGCAGCACTAAAGCAGTATGAGTGCTCTGAATGTGATAAAACCTTCCTGAATAAATTTGACTTGAACATGCATCAGAAAACTCACATGGGAAAGGAACTTAATGTAGGTACTGAATGTGGGGAAATGTTCATCAAAAAGTCTCAGTGCATTTGTCATCACCAAACTCACACAGGAGAGAAACCTTGTATCTATAGTGAATGTTACAGAAACAATGGCTGTACCACCACCCATCAGCAAAATCATGCAGAACAGAAGCCCTGTGTATGTAGTGTATGTGGGAAAGGCTTCACAGTTAAATCGAACCTGGTTGCACATCAACGGACTCATACAGGGGAGAAACCTTATATCTGTAGTGAATGTGGGAAAGGTTTCTGCAGGAATCGCTATCTGATTATACATCAGCTATGTCACACAGGAAAGAAACCCTATGTATGCAATGAATGTGGAAAAAGCTTCACAGTTAAGGTAAACCTGGTTGTACATCAACGAACTCACACAGGAGAGAAACCTTATATCTGTAGTGAATGCGGGAGAGGTTTCGCCAGGAGGAGCTGTCTGATTATACATGAGCGATCTCACACAGGAGAGAAACCTTTTAGGTGTAGTGAATGCGGTAAAGGTTTCCCAAGGAAATACAGCCTGATCGCACATCAGCGAAAACACACGGGTGAGAAGCCCTATGTATGTAGTGTTTGTGGTCGAGGCTTCATAATGAAAGGTGATCTTGTTTCACATCAGCAAACTCATTCTTCAGAGAAACGCTATACATGTAGTGACTGTGAGAAGCAATTCAGCAGGAAGAGATCATTGGTTGAACATCAGCGAATTCATACAGGAGAGAAACCTTATATCTGTAGTGAATGTGGGGAAGGTTTCATTGTGAAGAGATCTCTGAATATACATCAGTGGTCTCACACAGGAGAGAAGCCGTTTGTCTGTGGTGAATGTGGGAAAGGTTTCACCAGGAAGAGCCATCTGATTCTGCATCAGCATTCTCACACAGGACAGAAACCTCATATTTGCAGTGAATGTGGAAAAGGCTTTTCAGTGAAGAACAGACTTGTATTACATCAACAGATTCATTCAGGAGAGAGACTTTATTTCTGTCCTGATTGTGGTAAAAGTTTCACCAGGAGGAACCATCTCAGTGTACATCTGCGATCACACACGAAAGAGAAACCCTTAAATGCAGTGAGTGTGGAAAAGGTCTCCCAGTGACAGTGCGGCTGGTTGTACATGAATGGACTCACAGGAGAGAAACCCTATTTATGTAGTGAACGTGGAAAAAGCTTCACGGTGAGGTTAAACGTGGTTGTACATCAACAGACTCATATAGTAGTTAAGCATTTCTATACTCTATGTGGGAAACGTTTCTCGAGGAAGGACTCAGTCGTCTCACACAAGAGAGAAACAGTTTTTACGTAGTGAATGTGGAAAAGCATTTCTGGTGAAGAGCAAGCTGGTTTTACATCAAGGGAGTCATACAGGACAGAAACCTTATACATGTAGGCATGTAGGAACGATTTCAAAACCATGTGAGACCTGATCACGTGAAGGAAAACATGCAGGTGAGATATAGTGTATATGGGAAAGGTGTCACAATGAACAGTGATCTCATTTCACATCAGCAAACTTCATTCTTTGGTGAAATCGTGTATGTGCAGTGAATGTAAGAAACAATTTATAAGGAAGAGATCACTGCTCGAACATTTACAAATTTATATAGGGGAGAAACCCTGTGTGTGCAGTGAATGTGGAACAGGCTTCACAGTGAAGGCACAGCTGGTTTTACGTCAGTGGACTCATACAGGAGAGAAACCTTGTATCTGTAGTGATATGTGGGAGACAGTTCAAAAAAGTATCATCACACATCACCGAAAAAACAAGTGTAAGAAGTCCTGTATATGTAACGTATGTGGAAATGGCTTTACCATGAAGAGTGATCTCACTTTACATTAAAAAATGTGCACTTAGAAGAAACTATATATGTGCATTGAATGTGGGAAAGACCTTACCCTGAACTGTCATCTGACTGTACATACAGTGAACTCACACAGGAAGAAAATTTCTATATACAAGAAAAGTGGCTGAGGCTTTACTGGGAAAAGCATGCTTGTTGCACATTGCAAATACCCAGCAGAGAATTTACAGAGGAGAGAAACCCTGTGCATGGGATGAATGTGGGAATGCCTTCACTACAAAGTCAGGACTCAGTCTTTATAAGAGAAAACCTACAGGAATGGGGCCTTGTGGGCGTAACAGTTGTCGGGAAAGCTTTGGACCGCTTGGCAACCTTCCTGAAACATAAGAGTATTCACAAGTCATCACTTTGGGGTAAGCCCATTGCACATAGTAGACCCTCAAGGTAATAGTGTGGAATGAAGAATAACTTCATGCAAAAAATGTACTACTCAGTTTACTGATCAAAATCATTGTGTTTTATATTGATGAAAACATTTATCGACCAACTCATACATATATAGCCTTGAAGATACTTGAGGACACTGTGTATCTGAAAATTGTTTCTTGCGGTAACCCTTATCAATGTGGTAATCTTGGGAACCCTTTAGTGGACCTAGACCCCATCATGTAATCATGAAGTAGCATGAATGAGTGATTAGTTCTAATTATAAGAAACCATCTACTTAATAGATGTCACTTCCAACTATAAATACTTTTCTGTGGCAGTAAACATGGCATAGTTTTCAGGCATTTTTGTTGCCTCGTTTGTCAGTAAATCCATGAGTAATTACCTATGAACACAATTAAATTGGTCTTTTTATTTCATCTTTTTAACCATTGAGGGTATTTTTCTATTGATTTTTAGATAGAGAGGGCGGGAGGGAGGGGGAGAGAGGGAGAGGAAGAGAGAGAGAGAAACATCTATGTGAGGAGAGAGATTGATTGGCTGCCTCTGTACGATCTCCCCAGGATCAGGGACTGAACCACAGTGAGGTATGTGCCCTTGACTGGAATCCAAACCGCCCAGTGCTCAATTGTGGGGTCTTTAGCAAAACCTCAGATACCTCTGCGGAGGAAACAGTCCTTTAATAGCAAAGCATTCTGTCACATGTCTGAACACATGATACACCTCACAAGCCATTGGGGACAAGATACCTTCACCCTATTTTTACTTGTCATTGATGTCATAAGTTTTAAATAGTGGCAGCTACTTTCTTTATGTATTATGTTTTAATATGTATAAGACAATTGTGCACTGTATCTATTTCATTTTGTAGTAATTTTTACTTTTCTTTAGTTCCAAGTTTTTATTATTTCAGAATACCTGAAGTTCTTTTTTTTTTAATCCTCACCCGAAGATATTTTTCCATTTTTTGTTTAGATAGAGTGGGAGTGGAAGGGAGAGAGAAAGATAAACATTGATGTGAAAGGGACACATCAAGTGGTTGCCACCCGCACGACCCAACCAGGGCCGGGGACAAACTGCAACCAAGGTACATGCCCTTAGTGGGAACTGAACCTGGGTCTCTGGACCGCAAGCTGACACTCTAACCACTGAGCGAAACTGGCCAGGGCTACCTGAAGTTCTTGAAAATGAAATAGAATGTATTTCATAAAGATGAAAAAAATATTTGGATTTGTTTAACCAAGTTTATAAAAAAGCATTGAGTACTGTATAAAATTAATGTATATGATGTTTTAATTAATTTTCATCTTTGTAATGAGTTAAAATTGCACAAATTTAAATTTTCTAAATGTTTTTTAATGCTGTTCAAGTATCTACTCCGAAAGGTAAAAGCTTACAAGGTCACAATAGATTAAAAAATAGAGGAAAGAGAAATTGTTACAGTGTAGTTCACTGCAGGATCTATCTGTTCCTCTTGTTTTAACAAGCACTCGTTCTTCTTTGGTTTTTCAATATAATGTTAAGAAGGTGTAGGTTCTTATAACCAAGACCACTGTAGAAATGGAGGATTATCCTGTCATAAACTCCCTCCTCCCAACCCTGCATAAGTCACATCTTTTTCTTACCTTCATCTTGAGCATCACAGTTCATTCATCTATGTTTTTTGTTATTTATTCAATACTAAAGAATGGAGTGATTCATCATGTACTCTGCTGATACTGAATAGTTTATCTTGTGTGATTTAGAAAATGCATACCTACTGGTTTCTACCCCTGGGAAATTCCTTAGTGATAACAGCACATAAAGCATCTTTGTTGTATTGAGGGGACCACGATTGGAATTTTCAACTTCACACATCCAAAGAGGGCAAGGGTCTGGAAATAGTTAATGATCAAGCCTGCTTTGGGAAGAGTCTGGAAACAATCTAATAAAAGGGTTCGATGAGCTTGCAGTGCATCCAGGTATGAAGAATGCACTACACCCTAACTTCTTGGAAACAAAACTCTTGTGCATGGGAAGTCCCCGGACCTTGCACAATGTATCTCTTTAGCTGTTCATTAGTATCCTTCATGATTAACATTTCTTCAGATGTGTATTTGTTATCAATGTATTTTGATGAAATACCAGACTACGCTTTGCCTAATGCTATGAATGTTGTCACGTTTCTTTTAAATAAGGACCATGAAACAACAAAGGTGCTTTGATTTCGCTTGTTGTGTGACTTTTTTTGCTCTACTGAATAAATCTTCTTTATATTGTTATAATAAGTTCTAATAGTTTTTCATTTTTTATGCCATACACAATGTAATTGACACTTTAAATCCTCATCGAGGACATTTTTGCATTTATCTTCACATAGTGCAGGAGGGAGAGAGGGAAGAAAAGAGAAAAACATTGAGGTGCTTGATACACATTGACTTGTTGCCACCCACACAACCCTAACCTGATCCAGGGACATAATGCAACCGAGGTACTTGCCCTTATTGGGAACTGAACCTGGGTCTCTGGTCCACAGGCCGATGCTCTAACCACTGAACAAACCGGCCAGGGCTGTAATGGACACTTTTAATTGTAACTGACACTGGAATTTTCCGTCACTGTCACAAGTACAGACTTTGAAGATACAATTAGCACTTGCTTTGGTAGTGTCCCATTTTAAGGTCTGCTGTCATGGTGATTAATTGACTTGGGTCTGGATGCTCAATATGGGCAGTGGAATGGAGTCCCAAAGTGCAATAAGATGAAATGAGAGAAAAGTGATCAGATTCTCCATGCTTTGGGACAGGCACCCTGGATTTGAATCCACATTCTGAATTTCATTAGGAATCAAGCAAATGACCCCTTCCTTGGGGGTGGGGAACTCATTTTTTTCCTGAGTAAAGTGGGTATAAGGAGCTCTTAGCTAAGTTGCTGCTTGGCAGGGTGACAGCCATGCCTGTCACCTGCCTGGGTTTCCACAGCTCCCTCCTCTCCCTGCAGAGATATTCTGAGGCCAGAAAGCCCTCTCCCAAAGTACTGACAAGGTCCTGTGCTTTTCGGCGCTTTCAGGGTATTCCAGAACCCACTGATTCACCTGCTGCAAGGCAGGTGCTGTGGCTACTGAGGTCTTCATAAGCAGTCCCCACCAGGGAATGTCCAGCCAACTCCATGGAGCTCCCTGAGTGTCAGCTGGCTGAATGTGACATGCAGGCAATGACGTTCTTTCCTTGCTCTCAGGATCAATAAAAGGAACACACATAGCTCCTCAGTGCCAGTTTGCCAGGGTTAGACTTTTGAGGTCTTCCACTTACACTTCTCACAAAAACTCGGATTTGAGCCCTGGAGCGTAGGCCGGTGGTCCAGAGAGACCCGGGTTCGGTTCCCACTAAGGGCGCTTGCCTCTTGCAGTTTGTCCCAGGCCTTGGTTGGTTGTGTGGGTGGCAGCCACTTATGTGTCCCTTTCACGTCGATGTGTGTTTTTTTTTTTCTTTTTCTTCCTCTATCACCCTCCCCCTCTATCTGAACAAAAAATGGAAAAAATAAAAATAACTCAGATTTGAAATCTAATATCAAATTGCTGGGAACATCCACTATTAGAGGAAATGAAGTAGGATCTCCAAGTTTACACAACAGAAGTATGACCGATTCAAGAGGCTGGATTCCAACCCAGGAGCCTTGCCCCAGAAGCAGGGAAGATCTGCACCGTGTTCAAAAGCCCTCCCTGGGATACTTGCACTGTGAGCACTGTGTTGGCTCACTGAAAGCAACTTAGCCTGCACCGTGATTGCATGACGGGGGTCTGAACATTCCCTCGTTTTCGGAAGAGTGGAAGTAAGAGAAACTAAGACAGTTTTATAGCTTCGCACATTCTCTCGTCCCTGGGTCCTGGCCCCAAAGCCCCACAGCGCTGCGGTCTGTACGGCGGAAACAGGTCCCAACATGGCGGCCCCCAGGGCGCCGGCGCGAGGTGGGCGGGGACAAGGTGGCGCCGAGCACCGCAAAGCATTGTGGGACTTTCTCCCGCAGCCTCAGTGCCTTACTGGCCGCCCGGGCTTCAGCAGGAACCGCGGGGAATGGAAGCGCATCGCCAGCACAACTGTTGCGCCTTCTCTGTGGGTCTGGGGAAGACTCAGGTCAGTGTGTGTTTTTCCCCGGAAGGGTTTTGGTCACAGTGTGGTTTTCATTTCTCCCAGCGGGAGGGGTGGACTTGGTTTTCCCGAATTCTGGAATTATTACCGGGGTAGGAGGGGGAGGGGAGAAGCGCCCACGTGGAGCTGGTGCAAAGGACCCCGGTGGCCCTGGATGCGATGGTTGCTCAGCCGGCTGGGTGAACTAATGGGCACAGAGACATTACGGGTTCGAATCCCAGGTGGCAGGCTTGAGCCCCCGTGTCTGGGATGCGGGGAGGCTGACCATCCCCTTGTAATGGAGAGACCTGTACCTCTGGGGCTCTGTGCTCTGTGATGAGCGTTGTCTTTGTCTGTGCTCCTCTGTGGTGTGAGCCTGATCAGCTGCTGGTTGAACATGACCTCTCTCGGACCTCGCCCGGTCTCCGAAAGGACCCTGATCAGCGTGGGGTAGACGCACAGCTCTGCGTGGCACAGGGCGTTCTGTGTGATGTCCTGTCTCATGTTCTGTCTGGCTGTACAAGCAAAAGGGCACGGGAAACCATGGGGATTCTGTTGTGCGCAGTTGTAAATATTGTATATTAGGATGCTTTAGGGTTTTTTCCTGTATAATTTTGCATAATTTGCAAAATTTAAAGGTTAGCTGGGGACCCAGCTTTTATGGTGGGCTGACCGAGTGGCAGGTATTGCAGGAATGTCCTAGCAGCTGGGGAAAGGGTTCATCTGGAGGAATATCCCTGCTCTCCCTCTCATCAGATTAGCCTCCCAAACAGTTAACTAATGAAAGAACAGGGATGAGAGCTCCCGTTTGCGTGTGTGATCTGTTCTCGGAGAGCTCTCCCAGTCCCTGTCCGTCTGTGATGGAAGTTTGGTTTTGGATGTTGTTTGTTGCTCTGGTATTTGTTAGGGACTTGGTTTGCCCTCTGCTGTTTTCTGAACACAGGGCATCCTTCATCTCTGTTGTTTGGAGGTTATGCAACGCAGACCCTGAGAGGGTCACTGTGCTGTGCCCGTTGGTGTGAGATGAGAGTCTGAAGCTGGTTTCCCAGTCCTTTCTTGTGAGAGCATTCACTTGTTTACTCTAGATGTTGTTTGTTTCAGTTTTGAAATAGGATAGGATGTCATCTTTGATGGGAGATTTCATGTTCTGTCCTAAGTATTCTCAGGAAGATCTAAATTGCCAGTTCAAAGAGGGTAAAAGGTCTGGCTCCACATGCGGGGCATAAAAGAAAAATGTGATCAAACAGGTGTTGTAAACATTCCAGAGCCTCCTCCTGGTGGCTCTGGGGG